CATTTGCTATTTCTAGGAGCATCGCATGTCTCGGTTTATACATCAATTGCACTGATTTATACTGCACATTCTCAATAAAGATCAATCAATAAAATTTAGTATCTGGCATGACTAGCCAGATGTATTTCAAATTATATTATATCTCATGTGTGCAATGCTTTTCGGTTTATTTAATTCACTATGAATCTCATCAGTATTTTTATTTTCATCACTAAAGTAATATGAATAAAATGATTTGAACATAATGATAAGTATTTATATTCTTGAGAACTTGTTTTGCTGTTCTTAATTCAATTCATTAATAAATATTCTTTATACCCACTGGCTAAATTAATGCAAATGAACGATTTGGTGCAATGGTAAGTAAGTATTTATGTTCTTGTTTTGTGAATTCGTTTTGCTGTTCTTAATTCAATCTATTAATAGACGCACACTTTTATACCCACCAGCTAAATTAATGCAAATGAACGATTTAAGTGTAATAAGTAAGTATTTATGTTCTTGTTTAGTGAATTCGTTTTGCTGTTCTTAATTCAATCCATTAATAAATGTTCTTTAAACCCACTGGCTAAATTAATGCGAATAACCGATTTGGGCATAATGTTAAGTACTTGTGGTCTGGTCTTGTTTGATGAACTTGTTTTGCTGTTCTTAATTTAATCTATTAATAAATGTTCTTTATACCTAATGTTCAAAATTTTCGTTCAATGTTCGAATAATTATCCACTCTCTATTTGGCATTAGTGTTACATTAATGCTATATATCTTATCACATAATATTAAATTACAGGGGTTAACAGTGAATAGATTAGCTAACAGTGGGTTAGTAGCTCAAAGACACAAGTCTGTTAAATTTAGTCTGTTTGAAAAGGGTTATTATACTTATTCGCTAATCAATTACGATCATACCTTTATTCTTGCTGAATTGGCTCAACAAAAAAAATAAACAGTTGCTTACCCCGATCAGGCTTCCTCAACATCTATCAGCCGCAACAAAGAATATTTGAAAGATTGATCTGACAGATGTAGTATATATAGAAAATAGGGCTAATAGTTTAAGTATGTTGTAAAAATATTATTAATAAAGAATGATGCAAAAACTTTTAAATTGACTATTTAAGATTTTGACTATTCCAGTTTAGCATTTTAAATTGTCAAAAGTTTGATCATTTAGGTATTTTGACTTGTCTTATTGGGATTTTGACCTGTTAGAGTTCTGACTTGTTGGGATTCTGACTTGTTGAGATTTGAATTTAGTTAAAGATCCTGTAATTTAAGTATGTATATGCAGTCTATCTTTTGGGTTGTTTTAGAAAAGATGACAAATCGATTTTTTTTATATGTAATTGATTTGCAACATTAATAAAATTAAAATCGATTGCTTTTTAATCTATTGTGCATCGATTAGCAACTAATATCAATTATCATCAATTGTTCTAATTGATGGCAATCATCCCTGCCACGAATAATCGATGTCCACCCTATTTAAAAATTTTTTGATACTATGTAAAGTATATAATTAATTATTACTTGATAATTTGCTTATATTAATTTACACTATTTATATATATATATATTTTTCTTTTACCTTTCGACATGTAAATTAACATTTTTGTTTTTACTAATTAGTTCTTCTATATTTGTTTTTAAAGATCGAGAAAACCTTTGTTTAAATCTGGCTTGTCTCAATAAATCATACTATTTAAGGGAACCAAGATAATTTGAAGTTTCTATAGTTCGAAATCATTTGTTGAATACCAATTTCCTACTATCCAAATTGGCAAACAACTTGATATAAGTCACAATTAGGCTGTTTTTGGATGATTTTGCAAGGTAAAGATCAATAGTCCATTTTGTCTGTCAATGCTTGGAATATGAATTTTTACTAATTCACCGGGCTTAAAGGTTTGGTTACATTTTTTCTATATTTTTTATTGCATCCTATTTCGAATAAGGCTACGATTTCATTGAATATTTAAGATGGCTGAATTGCAGTCAGTTTTATGATTTTCAAATATTGGACGAGTTACGCTTAATATATTACTCTTAATGGTACTGTTGCTATAAAATGTAATATGTAAATACTCATTATATCTATTCTTTTCCATTAAACAACATTTATTTTTTTTTTAGTCAATGTAAGTTCCTATAATTCGGTCAAAAGTTACGTGATCGAGGAAATTATATCGTGTGGTTCTATGATCATTATTGAAAAATTGGAAAAAAGTAAAAGTATTATAAGAATATTTTTTTTCTTATTTATACTGTATTAATTTGTTAATACAGCATCAATTCTTTAATCACTGTAATGAGTCTAATAATTAAAGATGCTATCAGTTTGTATATATTAATTATTATAAAAACTATTAATAGATTAATAATTGCATTAAGAGCTGACGTAAGCTATTTTTCAATCGTTAAAGATTGAAAAATCACATGTGTCAACTGATAACTGGCAAATTTTGTGATCAATGTAGAACATATATACTTGTATAGACATTGATATTTTTTACTGCATCCTTTATATTTATCTCGCATATAAGTTATATACATTACCTGTTATCTCTTTCGTTCACTATCACTAAACTAAACCTGGCACTCACTTACTAAAGCTCTCCCGATCCGATAGTAACACTGGGGTAAAATCGCCACCCAAAAAAGTTTCGAACACCATATAGCAAATATATTAAGTATCAAATATTCATATAACTTGAACAAAAAATATAAACAAATTTATTGATTTTAATTATTTTTTGCAAAATTACAAAAAAAAAAGTAAAAAAAACATAAAAACATGAAAAAAAAAACTATTTAAATAATATCGACACCCTTTGAACTTTTATAAGCGTATCGACTTAAGTCGATAGACATTCCAATGTTCCAATCACTAATTGTTAAAACGTTTAAATTAACTGTATAAAGATCATTATTTAAATTAAAAACTATGGATTGGGCATTTTTTTGTTCATAGTAAGTTAACGCCCATATACTACTGCACATTACATCTAAAAGTGATTTTTCAAAATCATTTGAGCTATTTGACTCATCATAAATTACAGCAATGTCAATATTACCAAGGAATTGGTGCCACACTTTTTCAACATCGTCTATGTTTATTTTTGCAAAATGGGCAGCAATATCATCACTAAAACAATAATATAATATTAGTACATATTAAAAAATTAAATAAAACAATATTAAAAATAATTAATAATTATTTTACCTTTTTGCTCTACTTTGTAACTCAACATACAATTTGATAATTTTATTCTACTGAACATGACGCCACTCAATAAAGGTGGAATGAAATTTTGATACCGTATTATTAAAATTGTGTTCCCTATTTCTGAAACCAAAATTTTTAGAAATTTTTTAATTATTTGATTAGATTTGCTATCATCAAGGTTTCTAACAATGCATACATCTCATTCCTAAAAAGGTCACCGACGAATTTCAGAAACTCCTTAATAAAATAAAATATTATTACTATGTTTAGTAATAACTCATTATTAAATAGTTGTTATGTATCCTAACTAGTGATACGGGTCGACCTCAGCCTAACGGAGGCTGGTCAACCCTCAGTCTACACTCAGAGATATGGAAAAATTCATATATATATATAAAAAGGATTTTTTTATTATATCAAAATGAATTTTTTACAAATCAAACTGGAATTGATCTGTGTCCCTGCCTGCACCTTTGTGGGCCGAGTCGATTGATAAGAAAAATTTCTCTTTTAAGCATATTTTCAGGCTAGAAATTGAATAAAATCGGTTAGTCATTTATAATAATATAAAAGAGGTTAGCTGATTTAAGTGATAAAATTGGCAAATAGCAAATTTAATATAAGGATCAGAAATGTTCAGCAGCAAAGACAATCAATTAACATAAAATATTAACATGCCGAAATTTTTTCAAGGACAAAAAGAATAAAAATTAAATCGTTTAATATAACAAGAATTCGACAAGAAACTACCTGATGACCTTTTGCATATTTAATATAGATATGTTGACTGATTTTGATCAGAAAAAAATTATACTAGCAAAAAGATTAGCCCGGTCGACCGGCCTAAGCTTTTTTAGAATTGACTCTGGTCCACGATTTTTTCATTAACCTGTATCACTAATCCTAACGTATAAAAACAAATTATAATGATATGACTATTACCTTATGGGTTGTATAGTAATCATTGACTTGCACAGATGTTAGAGTTTTTCCATACTTTGTAAAAGATGAAGGAATGTTGTAAGCTCGTCTTGGTATGAATGAGAAGTACCTATTATTAAAATAGACCAGAGGAGGTTTAAACTATCCTTGAGCAGCTCTACTTTATAAGCATCTCGAGGTTCAACAGAAGGTGGTGGCGAATATGTCCAATCATCAAGATTTTTGAAGTAAAAATCTTCTGGCAAGATTGGACTTGGCGATCATGATAGAATTGGAGTTGCTGATCAAGATCATCTCGACGTATTTGGAAAGAGAATGTTCATCATAGCATCTATACCATCATTAAGAAGATCATTGGTGAGTAGCCCAAATCTATTTCGCAGAGCTGTAAGTGTTGTGAAATGATCATTATTAATGTGATGCTCCAAGTAATTCAATACTGTATTAAGATCTATAGAAATTAAAAAAAAGAATTATAAAATAAGTTTATTTATTAGAATAATATTAATTAATAAAAAAGCAAAAATCAAGCTTTTAGTAACTACATGTTGATGATCTCGTAACTATATCATTATAAGATCGTTGACATGTAGTTACTAAAAGCTTGAATTGTTTATTTTTAATTTTTTTTAAAAAAAATGATACCAGAAATAATAGGTGAACTTTGAATTTCATATGATACTGGTTGTGAAACTGGTTGAGATTGTGGTTGAGATTGTGGTTAAGGTCAGATGGGTTGAGACTGGGACCGGGACCAGAGTTGTCAAACAGAGAATTGGAAAGGTTGAACAGATTAAGAAGTTAATTGAACGGGTTGGACAGGGTAGGATTGCTATTGAATGGGCTGGGATGAAGATTGAAATTGTTGAATGAGCAGTTGAATGGGCTGGGATAAAGATTGAAATTGCTGAATAGGTGGTAGTTGAATAGGCTGGGGTGAAGATTGAGGTTGTTGAACGGGGTAGGTTGTTGATTGAGGTTGTTGAATAGGCTGGGGTGAAGATTGAAATTGTTGAACAGGGTAGGTTAATTGAGGTTGTTGAACAGGACGGGTAATGGTTGGGAAAAATGGTTCATCTCGAAAAGGAGTTTTTCATTTTTTAGGATTCATTTTTGTTTGGAAAATATATTTTTGAAAAATTATAAGTAAAAGATAAAAAGTTCTTTTATACAATAAATTCTAAAAATTTTGTCATCATGAAACATGACAAAAAAAATTCATGCAAAATTATTCGATATGCAAAAATTTTCATTATGCAAAAATTACTTATTGTGGTTTTTGAAAAAATTTTGTTTGTGAATACTGTGAATATTGCGAATAATGCAAATACTTGAATACGTGATTACCTTGGCACATTGATTAAAGATCAATGCCTGATTTTACGTACATACAATATAATTGTTGACTAAATAATTACATCGTATATATATAAAATCAAGCATCGATCTTTAATTAACGTGTCAAGATAATCGAGTATTCAAATATTCACATTATTTGCATTTCGAAAAGCGCGATAATCGATTATATTGCTTCTGATTGATTTTATTATCAGCAAAGAAATTTTTTTTAAAAAAGCGATGCAATATAATTTCGAATTTATTATATATATTTGATACTTTAATTTTATCGATTATATTTTTAACTTATAAATTTGCCATCAGCCAAATACAATCTTTTATTTGGTATCAGTTTTACGTTTTAGTAATATTGTTCTCAATCACGATTTTTGCAGATTATTAATCAAATTACATCACTCTTTAATTTTCACTGATCGAAGATTAAATTAGGCCGTTTTCAAGTGCTTCCCTCAATGTAATAGACCAGTGATCGAGGTGATGCTTAAACGCTACGATCAATTCAAATAAAGACTGCAATCGATACTTGAGCTATCTCTTTCAATTGATTTCCATTATT